GCTCGGCCTGGTAGTCTCCCTCCCAGAGGCCTGTGGGTAATGGAGTCCGGAAGTAGACCCAGAGCGCGCCCTCCCAGACAGTTCTGGGTATTGTAGTCCGACCACGCCCTCACGCCACCTCCGGAAGAGCCCGGACCTCTAGGAGCCCAGTCTGGCGCTAGACCTGCAGGCCTTTCTCCCGAGGCATCAGTGCGGCGTGTCCTGCTGCTGTGCGCTGAGATCTTCCCATCAGAGGCCTCCGGGTGGTGTGATCACTGCGCTCCAGGGAGAAGCTTCCCTTCACAGCCCACTGTGGCCTGGAACATCCTTTGGGAGGAGTTTCAAGCAAACCCTGGTTTGGTAGGTTAAAGATACTAGGCACCTGACGAGAAGGAAGACTCCCATGACCACAACACTTGGTCACACTGAAAATAGCCAGCAATTCCTTAATAACCAGTAGCCAATATATAGAACACTTTCACCAGTGACATCCAATCAATTTCATAGATCTAAACAAATCACAGGCAAACTAGGAAACCAGTACATCTGGTCAACAAGTCTCAGGTCCTCCTATTGTTTTGTTTTGTTTTGTTATGTTTCCCACATATTTGTAAAGTAAACAAGATTTTAGTTGTCTGTAGAATTGTTTTGTTTTGTTCTGGGCTTTTTTTTCTTCTTTCCTTTTTTTTTTATTTTTTTTTAGAGGTTTTTCCTATAGGGTGCGTATGCTCGCCAGACAGAAAGCGAGAAATCACCCCCCAGGGGGGTTGGCCATGCCACAATCCCTTCTCCTCCATTCTCCTCTCGGAATCTTGGGCACGCACACACACGTACCCGGCGTGAGTTTAAGCCACAGGGTCCAGGACTCGAACCACAGTCAACTACATGGGAGTCCAGCAACATAGCCATTACGCTAACTGCTGGTCCCTGTTTTGTTCTGTTTTGCTACAGGCTATGTAAACTTGCCGAGAGACAAAGTGAGAAGTCACCCACATCACAATACCTGCTCCTCCATTCCTCTTGGGACTTTGGGCACACACACACATACGCATTTGTGCATGCACATGCTCCTGGTGTGCTTTTCAAGCCTCCTGGTCTGGGACTTGATCCATTCAGTCAGCACATGGAACCCAGCCACCTCAACCACCATGTCACCTGTTGGCATTCTTGTCTGTAGAATTCTCTACTTCATGTTTTTCTGATGGCAACCCTGCCTGCAGGAACCTGTTTTCTGGGTGGGTGTTGAGCTCCAGGGTTTTTATTCCATTTAGGTAAAATTTGTAGACTTCCTGTCACAACAAAGCTCAAGGACACACTGTGTTCCTCAAGCATCTGAGAGAATGGGCAGACACCTGCCTTTTCACCATACACCCAGAAGGAGCATGGTACATGTAGCAGGTGGGTGTGCCACAATGAATGTGGGGTGCCATGTGGCACCCTCATGACCCAGCTTGCCCCACCCTAGTTCTGCACAGAGAGCATGGAGCAGTGGACACCACACACATGGCTAGGCCAGGGAGACAGTGTGAAATAACATGGGCCCATCCACAAGCCAGTGCCTCTGGTGCTGGGAAGAAGCCGGAGTGTCTCAACCAGGCCATCTGGTCACTGGTGGTTGCCATCACCCAGCCACTCTGAGAAATGGACCCCCAGCACCTGCATGAGCCCCAAAGACCAGTCCATGAGGGTTTGGCCCGTCCTCATGAGCAGCCCATGGACCCGGTCCCATCTTCACAGTTAGGGAAAGTGAAGTATGAGCCAGTCTCACCATACCCCCAGTCCAGTGGTGTCTCCTGACTGGCAAGAAGTTGACTGGGGGATTAGAAGCTGTAGCAGAGTGAACTCCAACCCAACTTGATGCCCCCCTCAAATATGCTCCCTGTAAACAGCAGGTGTGGGTCGCCACCTTTCACCTGGAAGCAGCAGCATGGATAGGTAGGTGGCAGTTGGGTGGGGGGAGGTCCCTGCATTGTGAAGAGGAGCTGAGTGCTCTAGCTTGAGAGGCTGTCTGCCCTCCAACCACGCCAGGCTCAGCTTCCCTGGGACTCTGCCAATGTGGCTTCAGACAGGGAGTTTCCCTCTGACACCCACCTTGAGTGAGAGGTCTCATCTCTGACCCCTAAACCTACTGCCTACCCCCAATCTTATCCCCAGCCCCTACCTCTAACCCTAAACCTCTAGCCCTAACCCTAAACCCACAACCCACAACCCACAACCCCCAACTCCTGACTTCTAACCACTGACCCCAAACTCCTAATCCCAACCCTAAATAATGAACAGGAAGGAAATTCTGAAAGATCTTACCAAATGGATGAATCTGGAGTCATTTACGCATTAGTGAAATAAACCAGCCACAAAAGTACAAATGTCATGTTGTCCTGGAAATGCCAACTCATAGGAGAGGAAGTACAACACAGGCCAGATATCCCGATCTGGAGTGTCCTGCATCAGAGGTGCTTCGAAGTATGAGTTTGCTTTTTGGTTTTGGAATATTTGCATGTACATAATGAGGTATCTTGGAGATGAGCTCCAAGTCTAAACACAAAATCGCCTCTATCTGACCCACACTTTCCACACAGAGCCGAAGATAATTTTGTGCAATGCTTTTGTGTTGCAGCATTCTGACTGCCACCTGGCCAATGAGGTCAAGTGTGGACTTTTCCACTTTTGGCTTCATGTCAATGCTCAAAAGCCTTTGGGCATTGAGACATTTCAGATTTTTGGATGAGGAATACTCAACCTGTAGTGACTTTCAGAGACTGAGGAAAGAGAGATGGAAAGTTTGTTTTCCTCTTTTGTTCCTCTTTTTTTTTTTTTTTAAAGAAATTTCTTTTCTTTTATTTATTACTAATATTAACTTTCCCATAGGGCCTGCATGGTCACCAGAAGGAGGAGACAGAGAGAAAGAGCAAACAAGTCACCAGAACTAAGACTTGAACCACAGTTGGCCATGCGGGAGTCCAGTGCCCTAACCACCACGCCACCCATTGGACATCGAAGTCAGCATTCTACAGGTACTGAGTTCAACTTGGGGAAGATGAAAACTGCCGGAGACCTGCTCCAGCCGAGGTGGGTTGAGGCTCATACACAGGAAGGCAACATGGGTGAGCAGGAATCAGACTGAAACTTTGATGCCTTTCAGCATGTTCTCAGCCAACTACAGTCAGAGCCAGCTCAAGACTGCAGCATCAGTGGCTATCAAACATACGTTATTGAGGGATGTTTTACAGAAGCAGGAGGGGTGAAGGGGAAAGTAAAAGATTTTACTGTAAAAAACAGGATGTTCAAAACATGACAATAATAAAAACATGATGTCTGTTCTGTTCAATCAGGTATAAACAGTTACAACCCTCGGGGCAAAAAATAGGATATTCAAAACATAATCATAAAACATGATGTCTGTTCTGTTCGATCAGGTATAAACCACCACAGTCCTTCGGGTGATAAGGTCCATTTCTTAGATCTTGATTACTGGACAGAGTCTTTTGGGTGAGGGGATTTTCAGCAAGCTTGATCACTTCAGTCCCAGGCCCACTTGATAACTTTAGCCTCAAGCCAGAGGCCTAAATAGAAATCTTACTTGGTTAAGTAAAAACATGGTTAATATATACTAAAGTGGAACATCTATATTATCTTTGGGATAATCTACAGCTAAGAGGGTGAGCCTAATTCTACATAGGAAAGGAATGTGGTCTTGCGAGCAGCTCAATGACTGTCCTAAAGGTTATTGTGTACATGTGGCTCTGAGAGGAGCTTCAGCATTCTTTGTTATTTTCCAGGCAGGTGGGGTGAGTCTCAATTCCCACTCACCGCTGCTTTAGGAGTCTGCATTCCTTCAGGATTATTGTAAAAGTTACAGTAAGGCTGGGGGTGTCATTTTACTCTTACGGGGTACCAGGGTACCATAATGACAGTAAAGCCCATGGCAGAGAAATACAGCAAACACAGTTTGAAAGTCTGAGCTCCCAGCTGTGGTCCTTGCCTGCAGGTTTTCTCACCCAAGCCTTGCTTAGACATGAGAGACAGCTCTTTTAGACTCTGCTTATGTTGGCTGCATGGCTTCCATCAGAAAACCCACCTGAAGATAGGTGGTTACACAATCTTGTACACACAGTTGGTCCCAGAGTACTATGCACATAGAAATGGTGCCTGCAAAGCTGCAGTAGCCCACAGGGATTGCCACCACTGGGAAGAGTGGAGGACATGGGGGAGACCCGGATTCTGGTCCTGAACTAGCCCACACACACCAGGTGCAGCTGCGTACACCTGGAGTCATAGCTTATTGGGAGCCTAGGCCAAGGGGATCACAACACAGCAAGACCATGTCAAAGATACATCTCCTTGCCACTCCCCCTTTCTCTGTCTCTCTCTCTTTTCTCTCATTAAAAACAGGTTCAGCACCAACCACAGTAGCACACACTGGACAGTGCTGCTTGGCCATGTGGGAGTCCTGAGTTCCCAAGTTCAGGTTCCGGTTCACCCTGAAAGGTCAGTGTGATGATAAACAACTGTGGTCTCAGCTACTCGGGAAGTTAAAGTGGAGGGATCACAACACACTGACACCCTGTTGAACATACCACAGACACATCACCACAGACAAACACAGATTTCACTGGTAAACACTCTCATGTCTATTTCACCAGACATAAAAAGAGTGAAGGACTCGTGCATGTCACGACACGGACAAACCACAGAAACAACAGAAGTGAATGAGGCAGGGCACCAAAGGCCACACAGTGTGTGAGCCCATGTATGTGGACCATCCAGGACAGGTGGGTCCAGAGACAGAAAGCACAGTGGGCAGGGCTGGGGTGGGGAAGTAACTCTTCGAGGTTGCCAAGTTTCCTTTCAGGTCATCAGAATGCTCCAAAGTCCACAGACGGTTACCCCACGCTGCTGATGTGGTCAACTCCTTACAGAAGGCTAGTGTGGTGACGGTTACATCATGTGAATTTACGTATTAAACAAATAAAACATACAGGCCATCAGGGCTGATGCAGGATGAGGCTCACTGGCTGACTGCGGCGGGGACTCGCTCAGCCTGTCCTTTGGGATGGATCACATGCAGGGTGAGTGCAGATCAGAAGTGCTGAGTGCACAGGCAGACTGTGTCATCCACGTCAGGCACCAGGGTGACCCCCAATATGGCCACCTAAGGTTTTATACTGGATCTTGATATATTCTGTTGTGGCTAAATTATTATTTAACTTTTTGTTTATGAGAGGTTTATGCCGTAGGATGCATGTGCTTGCTGGAGAAACAGAAAATGAGAAATAACCCATGGGCGGATGGCCATGTGGCCATCCCTTCTTCTCCATTCTCCTCTTGGGATTCTGGGCATGCACACATGTGTGGGGTGTGAGTTTTAAGCCACTGGGTCTGGGACTTGAACAGTGGTAGATTATGTAGGAGTCCGGTGACGTGACCATTACGCCATCTGCTGGTCCTATTATTAAACTTTGTACATAACTATGTATGCTTATACCAAAATTATTGTGGTTTTGTTTCATAAATATATACCAGATAAATTGCCCTGGCCCTGAACATCCACAGAAACGTGTGATTCATTTCTGTACTACCTCCAATGCAAACTTCCTGTCATAACAGAGACCGTATCAGCACTTTTGGCAAAAATATTGAGCATTTGGAAGTGAAAAAAGGGGTGGAAATTGATAGTAGTGAGCAGACATGGTCTATATAGACATCTCAGCAGTAGGTTTAGGTATCACTGCTTCATGAAGTGGGGACAGTACCAGCCTGACTCACATGTGGGCTATTAGAGAGGGGCTGGGTTACCAGGGACAAAGTGACACCAGACTGTCTCCTCTGAAACCCAGACTCTCTCTCAGCTGATTCTCTCAAGGATATCCCCAGTTTCATTGTTCTTCAACACAGACATTAGGTCAGGCATTCTATTTCACACTGATTAAGGGGGAAATATTCAAATGCAATGCCCGGTGAGGCTGCTGTGCTGAGTAGTAGTGAGGGCCCATAAGCTGCAGTGTTCCCACTGTGTGCCTGACTACCACAGGTAGGGATGCTCATGGAGGGTTCCCATTGTGTGCCTGACCACCACAGGTAGGGACACTCAAAACTGCAGGCTAGGCCACATGACTCTGGGAGAGGTGAAGTGGGGGATAGGTGTTCACTTATGTAAGTTTGGGCTTCTTCAATATTATGTTATCTTAAATTAAATAAAATCTGACCATCGTTCAGTAAAACACTCTTGGTTTTTCCTTGTCTGCTTATAAGACTATGATTGTAGCTTTCTTCTTCCTAATCAAGAGTCCATTTCCATAGAAACACAAACAGGAAGAGCATCGTGAAAGCAATGTGTCTGCTTCTGCTTCCATTTAAATGGAAATGGAATTTAAAGAAGGGGAAAAAAGGCAAAAGGCTTTAATAAGTAATCTTTTCAAATGCATCTTTCAAATTGAAGCCTCTCAGTTTATACAGTAGCTGCCAATTTTACAGGGTTGAAGCATAACACAGCAATGCCATACCTAAGGCAATTAATTGTGAAGCCAGCACTGAGTTAGCACAGGCTCCTGACCATGAGGCCATGCTGGTCTCAGCTGCTGTCCCAAATCTAATATGTCCCTTTTCTACCCTAGGGCCATCTCCTGGCATTCCTTGCCTAGTGAGACCATGGTGGCTGTATGGGTGGGAGATTACCACGAGGAGTGCCTTGGAGTTATGAGCTGTAACAGTCTTCACAAAGTTCTTCATGGAAAATGTGTATTGTGAAAAACTTAAAAGCATATGCATTTTGAAAAAAATTTTATCAAGATAAACTCATACTTTAATCCAGTTTCTCTTGTCTCTTTCTCCTCACATTGAGATTTTCTGCTATATCTGCCTGGAGTCCTCTGCCATGAACACTAACAGCACAAAGTAGACGAGACAGAGTAAAATGCGAACTTTCTGTTTAACAAGGGGCACTCACACTCTGGCTTGCATAGTGGTAAATAAAAGTGCTTGCTGCTAATTGATAAAGTAAAAAAGTTGATTTACAATATGAGCTCAAAGGCACTCAATTCATTTCTCATTTTTAAAAAAAGGTACTTTGCCAAGCACTTAATAATTGTTTTCCAAGTTATTTTAAAATAATCTAAAATATTTTTAGAATGAAATGAAAAAATCAAATTTATAGAAAAACTAAACAAACACAAATATTAAACATAACACATTGTAGTTTTTTGGTTGGGTGAGTCAAAAGGATTTCTTTTTCTTTGTTTTTTTGCTATAGAGCATGGTCACTTGTTGATACCCTATTACTGGAATTACAGAGATCATCCTCGGGGGGTGATTTCTCACTTTCCATCTCACTGTTTCTGTCTCTCTCTCTCTCTTGCAAGAACACACACACACACACACACACACACACACACACACACACGGCGTGAGTTTAAGCCACCAGGTCTGGGAACCGAACTGTGATCAACTACATGAGAGTCCAGCGACATAGCCATTACACTAACTGCTGGTCCTGAGTCAAAAGGATTTCTGACTGTAGTTACTTAAACTGGTAGGGTTTCTAAGAAGTCAGAGTCCCATGAGGGGACTTTGAAAACTTTGTGGAAAAGAAGAATTAAAATATGGTTTTATTTTCATGGGTAGTTTTTCATAACATGCATTTCCTGTGAACACTTCGAAGACTGCCTTTTCCTCATGAGGGACTGTGAGAAGGGACAGATGACATAGTTTGGGAGAAAGAAGTAGAAACATGCTTTTCTAATGACAAATGGCCAATCAGAAAAGACTGTTCTTTTTTTTTATTTTTTTGGAGACGTTTTTGCTATAGGGCACATGCGCTCGCCAGACTGAGACAGAGGGACAGAAAGTGAGAAATCACCCCCCAGGGAGCATGGCCATGCCACAATCCCTTCTCCTCCAATTCTCCTCTCAGGATCTTGGGCACACACGCACACGCGCCCCGTGAGTTTAAGCCACGGGGTCCGGGTCTCGAACCGTGGTCAACTACGTGGGAGTCCAGCGACAAAGGCCATTATGCTAACTGCTGGTCCCAGAAAAGACTGTTCTTTAAAAGGCAAAGTGGCACTGGACGACTTCTGTGCCCTCCCTGCCCCCAGACCCCTCCCTCAGTCCAAAGGGGCAGGTTGGAGCAGCTGCAGTGGGCGTCTCACAGCCTCGACTCCAGCACACATCCAAGCCCCTGGGCAGTGCCTGGCAGAGACCCGGGCTAATTAAAGGCTTGCTTTTGCAACACCTCTACCTTGAGTAACTGTGGCGCAAGATGAGGGCTCCGAGGTTGCATTTTCTGCTCTGATCACTTAGGGTGCAGGACGCAGGTGGAGACCCCGATGGGAGCAGTACACAGGACAGATCTGCGCGGTGGTCTGCTCCTCGCTCGTGCATCCTTAGGGCTAAGTGCCTCCTTCAGGAGGGCCACCCTGCACCACGGGCTGTATCCACAGGTGCCTGTGTTCATTCGTATTCATGTCAGTGTTCTTACCTCGGGAATGGTGCAAACTCTGTTACATGAGTCTCCCTAAACTCTTTCCACCATTTATTTTTTCACATGTGGAGACGTTGGAGAGTGCAGTGCCCTAACTATGCCTGGCCCACGGTGAATGTTTCTTGCTTGGGCACAGATGAGTGAGCAGAGGATGCCTCTGGGTTAGGTCCGGAACTCCATGTCCCCATACTGTGGGCACTCCAGGGGCATGTTAATGGAGAACGCCAAGGCGTCGGGGAAGGGTGTGCTCCAGCCCCGAAGCCGGAAGTCTTGCTCCCGGAGGCCTGTGCGTATTGTAGTCCCACGTGCTGTCAGAAGTCTGGTTTACAGAGGCCTGTGGATGATGTAGTAGGATGCCACAACAGGAAGTCCCTCCTTCCTCCGCTGAGATCTATGGGTAATGTAGTCTGAAGCTGCGACCAGAAATCCCCCTACAGCCTGCTACTCCAGGACGCCTTAGGCCCAGAGGATTGTGGGAAGTGTAGTCTGTCTTTACACAAATAACTCCAAGGGCAGGGGAGGAGGGAAGAGGGCTCCAGGATCTCATCTTGTACTGGGACGCTATGACCCAAGAATTGTATGTCTCAGGGTCTCCTAGCAGGCTCCCCTTGCCCCGCATTTGTAAACACAACAGCATCCTATGGGTCTATAGAACTTTTCCCCACTTTTGTCACAGGTGGCACCCGGTCACCAGAGAGGCAGAAAGCTGAGAAATCCCCCCACCCCCAGGGAAAAGCGCTGCACCTCTGAAGCTGCTCCCGCGTCTCCCTCCCCAGAACGAACAAAAGATCTAAATAGTAAGAATCCCCTCCTGCCTGTGTGATGACAGACATCACATGAGCCAGGGACTGGGCGCAGCGTGGTTCATGAGCCACAAAGATGACAGACGTGAGGGAGGGAGGAGACCAAAGACCACACGGTGAGTGATGGTCCATCCGTGTAGCCCAGAGCATCTGCATGTTGAAGACAGAAGCCAGCCCGCGCCTGAGATACAGCCAGAAGGGAAGCATTCGGGAGGGAGTTGAAGGCAACCCCATTCCCAGACAGAAGGCCGCAGAGACCACGCGGTCAGCCGGATGGGGCTCTGGGCACTGGCCGTGTCCCAGGATGTTGGATGACATTCCGCAATCCCATGTGTCCTCTGACTCCCGAGTGCGTGCTAGCTATCAACCTAGTGCCAGGAATAGAACCTACAAAGAACATCGTGTAGCTTGCCCCTTATCCTTTATAGCTAAACTCACCAGCCACTTGTCCAATTTCGTTTGGAATAAACGGGCTCTGCTCTTTTCTTCATACTTTTTTTTGGAGGGGGAGAGGTTTTTGCTTTTGGGCGCATGCACTCGCCAGACAGACAGAGAGAGACAGAGAGATAGAAAGCGAGAAATCACCCCCTAGGGGGGATGGCCACACCGCAATCCCTTCTCCTCGGTTCTCCTTTTGGGATCTTGGGCACGCACTCGCACGCGCCCGGCATGAGTTTTAAGCCACCGGATCCTGGACGCGAACTGCGGTCAACTACATGGGAGTCCAGCGACATAGCCATTACACTAACTGCTGGCCCCAACGGGCTCTGCTCTGGGGCAATTTGGCTTCTGCTCCAAGAGAGCTTCAGCCCCCTGCTCTCACTGTTCCCCTGTCTCTCTTCTCAATCTTTCGCAATACCCTACACCTGAGCCCTGAATGTCTCCCACCTGCGGGAAACAAAGACCACCTCACACCCAGCTATGATGGGAAGGGTGAGGCCACATCATCCTGTTACCCCAGCCCTGAGCCCCACATGCCCAGACACGTAGTTCTGGCCCTGCTGCCTGAGCCTCCCCTCTCCCTCTGCCTACGGGGCACCACCAGGTACCAGACCAGGGCGGGAAGGTACCAGCTACTCACCGGACGGCAGCCGGTCACCCAAAGCCAGGTGGTTCCCTCTGCTGGGTGCTGGGAAGCCCCTGTGCTTGCCAAGGCGTCAACCGGGAGGAAAAAGGAGCCGGGGCTTCCTGGGGCAAAAGGTGGCTCTGGAACCCCTGCTGGCAGTCTCAGACCCTGTGGGAGGAGGCTCACTCATCAGCTGAGGCCCAGCGCACCCTCTTGGCCAACAGGGTGATGTGGGAGGCAGCCCTATGGCCAGCTGGTGCCCAGAGCCCCCTGCTGGCCTTCAGGGGTGGATGGTGCAGTGAAGAGCGAGCCTCACTGAGGAGGTGAGACCAATCTCCCCACACCCTCGGTTGGTGTTTCTACAGGCTGAGCCTTGTTCACTAGCACTTGCCAGAGGCCCCCTCTCAACCATACCATGGGATAAAATAAAGTCAGGCTGCCTATTTGGCTATTGGCCTACACCAGGAAGACTCCTGAGATTGAAAGGAGGACCAGGGTGCTCTGGGTACAACTTTCTGAGGTCACTGCCGCAAGAACCGCAGGGCGACACCGCTGAACTGAGGAAGGGCCTCTGTGACTCTAGCTCAGTGGCTAATCGAGGCAGGACACCGGCAGCTGAGGTCAAGCAAGGCCAGAGTTCATGACATGGCAGCGAATTCACATTGTCTAGACGATACTGTTGCTTTGTTGAACATCATCAAGACAAAGACTCTGTAGAAACAATCATAATCAATTAACATTCCAATGACAAATGCATTCTTTGTGACTAGATTGATTATTCCAAATGTACCTTTTCTTTTTAAAAAATTTTTCAAATAATTCTTTAATTTTGTTTACTGATTTATTTATTTATTAGTTTCTTTATCCATTGTAATTTTCCCAGAGAGGAAGAGAAACAGAGAGAAAGTGAGGATACAAGCCTTCAGGTCTGAAGTATTTGAACTGTGGTCTGCCACATAGCAGTCCAGCACCCTTAACCACCAGACCACCCGGCTGGCGCCACAAAGTGCCTTTCCTTTGTTTCTGTGCATACCTTATGGTAGTAAAAGAATGTAATTGAGCATTTGGTACTGCAAATATCACGTTCAAAGAAAGAAAGAAGAGGCACAGGATCTGTGGCCAAGGGGACTGGAAGATAGTGTAATGGATACATTGCCAGACTCCCACGTAGTCAAGCACAGTTCAAGTCCCAGACTGGGTGACTTACGACTCACGCCAGGCACATATTCATGAATGCCCAGAATCCCGAGAGGAGAAGAGAGGAAAGGGATGGTGGTGTGGCTATGCCCCACTGGGGCTTGGGGGGTGTTTCCCTGCTTTCTGTCTCCCTGTCTCTCTCTGCCTCTGCAGT